GGGTAGCTAGCAGATACGGGCTCTATATGGCATTAATTAACTGTAAAGGTCATCATGGGCCCAGCCCGGACCAGGGCTGAGCTATGCCTGGGTCTACACGGGCCCATTCTCGATTTATAGGTAGAGCCCAAATTCAATTCCTTTCTTTTAAAAAAAAAAATCTTTGAATGAATTTCAATGATCAATATTGCCAATAAAATTGTACGATTTAATTGATAACTTCTTTATTGGCAATGAGCTTAGGGTCGGTTTGCAGTTGGAATTGAAATTGAAATCAAAATCCTCTATAGTCTGTCTGATTCAGAAAAAATATGAGAATGGGAATTGAAATCAGCAAGAATGGGATTTCATTCCCAAGGGAAAGGCAGGGAATGGCCATTCTTTCAAATGAGAAAAATATCATTCCAACAAAAATAGGAATAGAATTTTAATTCCATCTAACCAAACAGTTGGATTTGGAATAGTCCATTCCAATTCTGTTATGACACTTCAGTCCACCCAGGTCATTTGATTTTGGATGAACTTTAAATGGTTATTAATTGCTTTTTCTTTATATATGTGGATGAGATATCGTATCTTATTAAATACAAATTCTTGGAAAAAAATGAAAGAACTTGTGAAGGAAATTACACGAGAAGTATTGTGATTACTTAGGTGCCGTTTGCAGGTCTTTTTTGAAAGATTTGACAGTCAAAAGATGTAATGGAATTTTATAAGAAAACCTTGACAGAATGACAATTAACAGACTGTTTGGTGGGAGGCGCATCTTTTCGCATAAAGATGAGACGAAAAAATGTGAGAAGCTCCATTTTTAGCTTTCCAAAACTTCTTTTTTGAGGTAAAATATTTCAGCGGCTAGATATTCTCCCAACCAAACAAGAAAAGATGAATGTACAGGCTGCCGAACTTCTAAACAGCCAATAACCCATGCAGAAAGATGCACCAAACAGGACATTATTCTTAAGGGAATGTAACATGCCATCTGTAACATTATAATTAGTAAAAGCTTCCCAAGTTGTTATGATTCAGAAAAAGCAACTAGACCGATGATGATCACGCAAAGTGGCCTCTTAAAGTGAAGAATTACAGGTTTTGTAGTGGAGATATGAGATGCCTATGTTGAGTCTTCACATTCAGTACTCAGTACTCATTAAAATTGAAGGTTATTATTGTAGAAAAGCCCATTAATTCCATATTCAATTACAAGACAGAGTTCCTTCTAATTCAACCTTTGGAATGATTCTTTGCTTGGCTTCTTAAAGCCAGCATAGCTTCAATTCTAAGTCTCAATTAGCTGTATTATATGCTATTTTTGCAAGAAAAAAAAAACTGTATTATTTACTATTTTGATATATATAAAAGGAAACCAGAAGAATGCAACAATATGATAATGGGTTCTCTACAATAGGCATGCTGATGAATGATGATCATCCTGCTAACATTTCTAAAGATAAACATTCAAAAATCAAAATAGAATGGAACAAATAGAAAAAAAAATCTATATATAATTATACATATAACAAGGGATTTTTTTTTTGTCTTTATGTTGATCAAGAGTAGAAGAGATAAAATGGACGAAGGAATTGCAATAGATGCTTGAATAGTGCACAAACTATGAATGTAGATGTTTTGCTTTCTGAGGGAATAATATATTACTCAGACCTGTCAAGGTTGCATGTGTATTATGCGCTAGAGTTGTATTACTTATACCCTGACAGAGAGCTTTGACCGGTTTTCTTGTCTGGTTGCAGAAGATATATGCACCGCTGTTTGTCTGTTTTGGTGATAGTTTCAACAAAGAGAGGTGAGTCCCACCTCATACGAAGACAAATATAAGTATAAAAACTACTGCAGAAATATCTTATTTAGGGAATTTTAACTTCTGTAGAACCTTATAGGCGCTCTCTCTCGCTCTGCTCTCTTTCTATATATGTATTTAATTCTTAATCCAACCCAGATAATGAAATTCTTAACACGCTCTTAGAGACGAAGGACGGAGATAGAGTTGAACCAAATCACCACCATTGACCTTGAAATCGATGTGGAGGTGAAGAAAGGTGCAACCAAAGTAATACTTCTACTTTAAACTTAAAGACATGAAGAGGATGATCAATGGAAGTCCTATTTTCAGAAATTGGAATAACTGTAAAGAGTGGTTTCTTTTTTGGGTGGATGAGAATGCGACAAGAGTTAAAGAATATGATATGACCACTAAGATCAGGGGGCTGACCCACTCCCCACGCATCATTACTAAGAAACCTTTCCAGTTCTAGGTCTTTTCCAACACAATCAGACTAATTAAGACTAATCTTAACATCCATCATAATGGGTCTTTTCAATCCATTTTAGCTAGAACTTCCAAACCTTCTTTCCATGAGACAAGATGTCGTGCCAACAAAACATGTTCAAACACCCTATCAATTTGATCTGATACCGCACATCAAACTATAGAATTGAGGCCACCATAAAAGTAGAACCTATCATGCAGCATGGGATGTGCGATGTCAAATGATGTTGATAGAGTGTTGAAAATGTTTTGTTGGCATAAAATCTGGACTCTATTTTTTCCACTTCCTTCTCCATGAGTTTGGATGAGAGGGAAAACAATTTTCTTCCTTCTTTTTAGTTTCTTTCCTTTTCACTAATTAAGCAAGGGGTACATAACTACATATACAAACTATATAAGAAAAGCTGTACATATACAAACAATAATCGTTTCCAAGGGTATATATGGGAGCTAATTATGGAAGATGGTTATTTTTAACTTGACTTTTCCCAAAATCCTGCTTGTTTTAATGAATTGGATATTTTCATTTTATGGAGGAACAAATGTTTAAGGTTAACTAAAAATGTGAAAATGGTTTGTGAAACACCAATATTGGTTTAAAATATCGAATATCATAGCTCCAGTTAAGTGTCAAAGGTACTTCACAGCTGCATTATGGTACTCTATTTCCACTATATATATTGCACAGCATTGATTTTATTGTAGATTTTTTCTAACTAAATGGTTTAAATTCCAAAAACCTCAATTTTGTAAAAATGAAAAAAAAAACTACACCAATTTTAGATAAAATCCTTCTTTTTACTTGTACAAAACCTCAACTAATGAGACAAAATCCACTCAACTATTTAATATGTAACTCCATAAGTTTTGGAACAGTTCTCCCCTACTGAAACTAGGGATTCATTAATATGAAGAAAAGATTTCAATTTAAAAATCTTCTTAAGCTCGGGGTATTTATTATTAGGAAAATAATAATAATAATAATAATATATTAGAGATAAAATAGTCACTGCAGCTCGATAGTATATATATATATATATTCATCATTCACAAAAAAAAAATAAAAGAGAGAGAGAAAAAAGAGGACAAGTTGAGAACTTAATTAATTTTCAAATTTTTAGAATATTTTTATTAGTTCAGCCGTTACCAAACATTACTGTATGTCTCCAATTCTAGGTAAAAGTAGTAAAAACTAAATTGCTTTGATGTTATTTTTGTTTTCCTAAATTACTTTTCTTGTCATTTTGCTTGCATGATCTTGATTTGTAGGGATTAGAGGATATTATATTGATTTGTAGAAGATGGTCAGAAGAAAAAAAAAAGTACATGCAGTAAGTGGAGAGTGGAACTATGAGCATCCGCAGCTGCATCACCCAGCCAATAGATGAAGATGTCAAAGCATGCATGGAGACAAGACACAGGTTCATGGTTTGGTTTAGTTTAATTACTTTTCTCGTTTTCAAAACAAACAAAAAAATTGTTTCCGCGTAAAAAAAAAAAACACTTGGAAGCAAGAGCAAATGAGCAAAGACATAACAAAAGGCTGCCATCAACTGAAGCAAGATAAGGAAAAGGATATGGAAAGAAAAAGAAAAATATTCCTTCCCGAGTTCACCCCTTTTCCACGTTTGTGTTTCATGTGATCCTTGCTGCATGTGTTGAGTAAATAAGTACTTCTCTCTTTCTTAATTAAAAACAAACAAACAAATCCAGAGAAAGGAACCAAAAGGTTGAAAAAGTCTTCTATTCTACTCAATTTTCGACTGAAAAATAAATCCAAAATTAAAAATCTTCTCCAGTCCGGTCTCCAAATGAAAGCAATTCCAGTTCTAGCGTCATATTTAAGGGGAAAAAAAAGAGAGTAATTTTTAGAAGTGCGTATAATACAATATGATATCTAGTATCTAGTCTAGAGTAAAAGCAAAATGGACTGTTTTGGGCCATAATTAATTTGGGGCTGGTCCACAGCATCTAAGCCGGGCCAAACGTGACTCAACATTGGCATTGCAGGTTCCCGAAGCCCGAGGCATGTTACTTATAGAGGACCAGCTGTGCTGTGACTACTGCGAGTGTAAAATGTAAATAATAGCTCGCTCCTCCCTACCTGCACCTGCAGGCTGCAGCCACGATTTACTAATATATTCGCTCCTTCATCGAAGCCTAATGAAGGCCTTATTCATTCTATGAATAGAATAGTTATGGCATTTCCACTTCTGACTTCTGAAATCAACTAACTCATTAACTTACCACCTTATTATAATCTTAATTAATACTTGTCTTGTCGGTAAAACCAAAATTAACCCAACGCAAATGATAATGAAAATTGAAACAAGGCAAACTTCCTTTTGTACCACTCAATAAAATTATATATCCTGGCTCATTGGACGATACAAGAAAAACCAAAAAGTAAGAAAAAAAAAACAGCACGTCAAACTCATACGTTGCCTTGGCCTCCATGCACCTTATTGACAATACGTACAATTTTACAAAGCACAAGCTGCAACTATACAGACAGAGATTTATTTAATTAGTTAGTTGCCGATTGCCATACCATTACTGTGGTAGCATCGTGGCAAAACCCTTAATAATATATTCATTGTTTTCTAACAAGAAATTAAGAAGCTAAACGATGAATAACCTTGCCATGTCTAAGAAGCCGCAAAGTTTGAACAGATTGTAGAGAGAGAGAGAAAGAGAGAGAGATTGTTGGATGTCAGGTCATCGAAGGTGAGATGGGATTCACAGAAGCAAAAGTTTTACAACCCTTCACACCTCTAAAATAACCAGTCCACCAGCATCACTAGAGATGAAGAAAAAGAAATAGACACGAGATGGACTTTCAGATTTCAGTGTTTTTCTTACTATCAAGAGTGTAAGCTAAAACAATTGGAAGAGAGAAATGGCGAGATAAATATATGGTTCAACATATATATAAATCAAAATAAAAAAAAAAAAAATACAAGTCGATGCTGATAAGAAAGGTGTGCTCTCTCTCCCTCTCTCTCTCTCTGCATACATCCGTCTATCTATCTATGATGCTAGTGATCGCCTATCTATCTATCTACCTACCCATGTGTGTAAATCCTAAACTGATGCATTTCGTCTTACAGTTGCTTCTTCTTCATGGAGTGCTTATTGTTGTGCATCCAAACCTTGAGGACCTGCCTCTTAACACCGACCTCAGCACAAAACTGCTGGACTTCCGGTTCATCTTGCTTCTGGATTTTCCACCCAATCTTCTCGGCGAACTCCAACATCCTGTCTTTCTGCTCTTGCGTGAATTTCGTCCGAAACCTCTTTTTTGATAGCGACAATGGTTGCGGAGGCTGTGTTGCTCCCCCAGGTGCACTGGACTGGTACGCATTGAGGTCCTCGCTTGACGATTCAGTTGCTCCGCCACCAATTCCACCACCGCCTCCGAAGGCCATCATCATCATGGGAGGAATTGATCCCGGTGACGGACTGGTAGGTAACCCGAGTTGGAATTTTTGGTGTTGTTGAAGAGGTGGAGGAGGTAGTTGGGGTTGGGGAGGTGGGATCCTACTTCTGCTGCCGTCGTAGTTCTTGTTATGGTAGTAATAACAATTCGCCCCCGATTGGGACTCCCCCTCCATCTCTTTCCGGTGGAAGTTCCTGTGACAGTCGCATGCGGCGCATTTTAGGGCCTCTGGGGTCCCTTCCTCGCCGCTCGGCATGAATTCGCCGCAGCCATCGACAACATGTCCGCCAATGCTTGCCGCATGGTTCTTGAGGCATTCTCGATATCGAACAGCAGTAGCAGTACTTTTGGTAGTTGTTGATATAGTGGCCGTTGTTGGAGGAGGAGGAAGAGGAGGGGGCGGTGGTGTTGTCCTTGCTGAGTTGGATCCACCTGCAACTGGTGCACTTGTTGCACCACTAACTGCAATTGCGACCGGAACTGGATCTGAATCTGCTGGGTCTGGATTTCTTCCATGCCCTTGTGGTTGATGGAGACGGTGGTGATGATGTTGTTGAAGATGATCTAGGGTTTGAGTTTGAGACGGGTTAAGGATCGCTGTCCCGTTCCCAGTCCCATCTCTTCTTCTTTCTCCTCCTACCAGTCCTGTTGAAATAACTGGATGAGAGGAGACCTTTGAGGATGATTCCCGAATGGGAGGATTATAACCCAAAGAACTTGGCATTCCTCTCTCTTTGTCCTGCCCTCTCAAATCCATTAAATCTACAGTAAACCCAATTTCTTTCTCCCTTAATTTTCTTTTATAAAAAGATCTTTGCTTTTTTTGCTCTCTCTGATTCTACCATCGTCTTCATGCATCCGGCTCAACCCATTGATCCTTTATCTTCCGCACGCAAGCTCATCTAATCTCCCACAGAAACTAATCAAACAGATAATCAACCAAATAAACTAGTTATATTTCTTCTCTTCCTAAACTTTTGGGTTAATTTTGGCTTTGTGGATGCTAAATCCACCAACCCATTTCGCTAACTCAACCCCTTTCCCAAGAAGTAAGCAAGTAATCGAGCAGTTGGTAGCTAGAGATGGGGAGAGATGCCTTCAGAGAGATTAAAAAAAGAAAATGAAACACCTTAACTCAAACAGGAGAACAAAGCTCAAATTGGGCCCTACTAATTAATTTAATTTACACGTAAAGCAGCCTTACCTCACTAATAAGTTATAATATCCACAGTCGAGATTTGAGAAAGAAAGGAAGGGTGAGAGGAGTTGTAAGTGAAAACCCACCCTAGCCATCAAAAGCCATAAACATCTCCTGAGTTGCATTTATGCAGGCATCGCGCAAATTACCAAGAGAGAGAGAGAGAGAGAGGAATTTGCTTGGTGCTTCCTACCGCCCGTCTAAATCCAACAAGCAACAGGTTGGTTGCTTGTGATGGACAGGAAATAAGACTGTGCGAGACTGACTAGATTAAGCGGGGGTTCTCTGCAAAACCACCGACAAGGTCATGTTCATCCTTTCCCCACGCCCTGCAAGCTGGTCCCATCCCTAATTATTGCGCTTGTATTTGTTATCTTGTGAACACACTAGTATCGCTTTAACATACCCTAAGGGAGAGGTGATGCGACGTTGCTTTGCTTGCCTGGAATCCTCCCCACAATCATAAATCCTCAATTAAGCAGATACATTGCGTCAAATGCAATAACCACCATTAAAGATTAAACACACTGAATGAGCTCTCTCTAAGTCTAACCCAGCCCAACCCAACCGAAAGAAAAGATGCAAAGGCAGAAACTGAGAGCGAGAGAGAGAGGAAAAAAGAAAAGAACAAAGAGAGGTCGGCCGTAGAAGCAAGTAAAGGTAAAAATGTTTGGTCCACACTCCACAGCACATTACTTGTCCTGTTGGTGTGTGTCAGTCTCTCTTTCTCTCCCCCTCTTTGACACACACACACACGGACACGGTCTCCCTTCTCTCTCCCTCTCTCTATACTCAAGGCTAATGTGCGCCTGCTGCACCTCCTACAAATCCATACCCACTCTTTACTTAAACATAGCTTTTCCTTGCTTCCCTTCACTAGTGCAATTGATGCCTTCCCCATCTACCCAAGCTGCTTCTCATTTCTCTTTCTGTCACGTTCGAAAACCAAAACCATTGTTGCCACAGAAGCATCGATCCCTCTATCTCTCTTTCCCTGTCCATTTATGTGCTTTGGTACCTCTTTGCTGGAGTAAGTGGTGTTGCGGAGTGGATGGGCCAACAGAAAGCGTAAGGTGTGTGCAGGAGAGAGTGAATCCAACAGCCTTCTTTTATGTGGGCACTGTACTAATTGACTGTCTCTCTCATCTTCTCCCCTTGGTTCTCCCTCTCTCTCTCTCTCTCTATCACGATTGGACAAGTACAATTAGCCACCTGGCAGACATACTCATACACCTCCTCATCCATTTGATGCATCTTATTCAAATCCAATTCGGTACATATTTGTCCCTGTAAGACTCCTGATTCATGTCTTTTCATGAACCTAACGCAAACTATTCAAAATGTCCAAATGCATCTTTCTTAGAAACTTGCCCATTATAAAATTACTCACTTTCTTTTTTTTTTATTTCTCTTTGTGTTCTTAAGCTGTTCACCAAAGACGGCAAGCCTGTCAATTCAAGAGTTTGTTTTCCTGGAAAATCGGGAAACAAAACGGTAATCAAAATCCCTGGTGGATTTTATTTTATTAGTAATTACTCATAAAATATCGATTTATATTATACAGCAGGAGATTAGGAGAATCGAACCCGTGAGCTATTGATATTTAATCTTAACTTTTAGCTTCTTTAATATAATTGTGTACTGTGTTACAAAGCTAAACTGAAACTGAAAAGCACCTCCCTTTTCGGTACAAGTTCCGAGTGATTAAACAAATTAATTAATTAAAGATTAAAAGGATTATTATAAGGATTAAGGAAGCCGCTTTTAAGTTTTATCATCATCTTCTTAGTTCTTGCTCAGCCATAACCATAAGCCAAGTAGCCAACCCCCTTCCACACCCATAGTTAATGTTCTGACTTCTAATAGATTTTTTACTTTATTTTTTAAATTTGTCTGAAAAATAATATATAAGAGTGGGCCGAGCTAATACGTTAAGATAGAGCCGGGTCTGTTGGTGTACGTGGCAAAAGCCCATCTACGAATATGAAGCTTCTAGGCTTTCTGCTTTTCTTTTAATGTCCGTGCCAAATTAGGGAAGTCAGTCCCAAGCTGTTCGCCTGTTCACTCAATGAGTTGTCATGTACCATCTACACTTTAGACTTATTCACGGGCCGGGCTGGGCCGGACTTTGCTTCTTTATTAAAACAGAATGTCCACTTGTTCAGGCCTGAATCCAAGTTTAGACCAACCATCGGTCCTACATTTTGATTTTTGAATCCAAAAAAGTTTTAAAACAAATTTTATTACATATAAATACTAATATATATTTATTATATACAATATTATTAGATCGAACTTATTTACAAAATTCCGAATCCAAAATGAAAATAAATAAATAATCGTTGATGGTCATCAACATCCCCATCTTAGTTAGTTAATAAATAGATGAATTAGTGATAATATTATTTATTAATATTTTTGAAATTAACTAAGAGAGCGTACGAATTCATGTGGCTTCCATAATCCATAGTTCTATCTATGTGGTCTAGTGTATGGTACTTTGTCTTTTCAAAAACGCACGTGCACAGGGATCGCCCCCATCTCCAATTAATTAAGTGGATTTGTAATATTCTGTGTGGGTGGATGGATGATTGTCGTTTCGGATTCGGACCACTTCAAAGAGTTAAGCACGTAGGTTTGGCATTTAAAATCACTCTGTTGATACACCATTGACACACAACAGTACATCAATAATGGAGACCAAAGAGACACTTGAAAAATTGCAAGAGAAATTTGAAAAGCTTCAAGGATGGGAAAAAAGGGTGCTGATGATCTCTTTAGACGGATAAGAAGGTGCCCACAGCAGTAGAAAAGTAGAAAGGGAAAGAAACAAGGTTGGGCCCTCGAAAATTTGAAAAGCCTTTGTACGTCCATTAGAATATTTAAAAGCTTCTTACATGTAAAATTAGTCAAGACCCCTGCCGATGCAGGAACATTTTTTTATGTGAAAATGAACAGGATTTATTGGAGAACTATCTTAATTTTATTAATTGTTTGTATCAATTTATGTTATGTATCTTTTTTTTTTTCATTTCATACTTCTTCCTTTCCTTTAATAATAATCATAAAATTCATCATGACTATTTTAATATTTCTCTTAAAGTTATGCTAACTTTTCAAGACATACAAAGTGCCCCTAGTCATTGAGTTTTATTGTCCAAAACTCACCTTCTCGTAAGATTTCTATTTGATCACTGTTAGTGACCATTAATAAAAGATGTCAATATAAGCATTTAAGTATTTTACATGATCAAACTATATTTGAATGGCTGATCAAGCTTATTAAATATTTTTATCACAAAATTACCCTTGACCTAAGCTCGGGCCTACACTAGGCTTGCAAATTTTAAGGCTGGAATATTTAATAAGGTTAACCAACCATTTCAAGGATAATCTAATATATATATATATATATATATATATATATATATATATATATATATATATATATATATATATATATATATATATATANTATATATATATATATATATATATATAATATAAATGATTTCAGGCTAATGCCTCCCCCAGTCAAACATGTGGCTCTCCTCCATTCAGACGCCTGTCATTCTTTAGTGGTAGTCTAAGAAAAAAGCCCACTAACATGAGAAATGGGAAGCTCCCACTTTCAATCATTTCCTAAAAAAAAAGAAACTTTGCTATTAATTATTGTTAACTACTAAACTAATTAATTAATTCCAGCTATTTATTACTAATAATAATCTACTTCTAATTAATTAAGTACAATTATTAATTACTAATAATAATTATTTTTAATTTCTAATTAATTACTATTAACAACTTCTAACTAATTAATTCCAGCTATTAATTACTAAAAATATTTAATTACTTAAAATAATTACTTTTGATAATTACTGCTATTACTTAATTGTCGATAATAATTAATTAGTGATAATATTGCTCATTATTAATTAGAAAAATAATTTCTTATAATAATCGCTGCTAATATTTAATTACTAATAATTTATTACTAACAATATTGCTCATTATTAATTTGAAATGATAATTAATAAATATTTTCATAATGGTAATTAATAATTCAGAAATAATCATTTTATATTTATATAAACCAATATTAATTATTTTGAAAATAAAAGTTTAATGTTAATTATTTATATTATAATTATTATCAGAAATTATAATTCATACATTTAAATAAAATAAATAATTATATTATTATTATCAATAATTATAATTAATTATTACTAATACTAATGATGATAATTATTACTATGGAATGATAATTAATAAGTATTTCGATAATGTTAATTATTAATTGGGATATAATCATTTTATATTAATATTAAAATTCATATTAATTATTTTATAAATATATAATTAGTGTTACTTATTTATAATTAATACTATTTTTATTCCCCAATAAATACTTCATTTAGTGAAAGTTAAATTACAAAACATTCAATTATTCAATATTGTTAAACTTAAAGAATTATAAAAGAAAATATTATTTTATGAATTAACTAAAAATCGTAATTATAACAAATTAATTACCTAATAAAAATAAAAATAAAATATTAATAATAATATAATAGTAGTAATAATAATAATACTTTAATACTACTGATTTATTAATTATTAATCTATTAATAATACTGATTATTATTAAAAAATGTTAATAGAAAATTTTAATTATTTAAAATTATTTGCTGAAATTATCCATTTTAATTTGGACATATAATTGATTATTAATTTAATTTCTTAAATTATTATTTACTGGATAATTTTAATTACTCTTTGATTAATGACCTTATTTTTGAATAATTGGTTTTTTATGTTCAATAATTGTTTTTGCAAAAATCCAAATAATTTTTCTTTTACAATGCTAACCATTCTATTTTTCTCATATTCAGTTTTTCAAAAGACAAAAAAATAAATTAATGATGTTTACCTATTTTTATCAAGCTGTTGTCATTGATGATGACGATGATGATGAGTCAACTTTTTGAAAGAAATGGGGTACTAATAATAATTAATGACTTCTAATTAATTAATTTCAGCTATTCATTATTAATAATAACGTCACTAATAATAATTTCTTATAATAATTACTACTACTACTTAATTGATGATATTAACTAATTACTGATGATATTTCTCATTATTAATTCAGAATGATAATTAATAAAAATTTTCATAATGGTAATTAATAATTCAGAAATAATCATTTTATATTTATATTAACTCATATTAATTATTTCGAAAATAAATATTTACTGTCAATTATTTATATTAGAATTATTATCAAAAATTATAATTCATACATTTATACGAAATAATTAATTATATTATTATTATCAGTAATTATAATTAATACTTATATTAATTAATATAATTATATTATTATTATTATCAATATTTATAATTAATTATTACTACTAATAATGATTTTTTGATAAAAATTAATTATTGATTATAATTACTTACTAATAATTAATTCCTTAATTATAACAATGATAATTATTACTTCAGAATGTTAATTAATTGATGATAATTAATAAGTACTTTAATAATGTTAATTATTAATTGGGATATAATCATTTTATATTTATATTAATTCATATTAATTATTTTATAAATATATAATTAGTGTTACTTATTTACATTATTATTATAAGTAATTATAACTAATACTATTAATATTCTCCAATAAATATTTCATTTAGTGGAAGTTAAATTATAAAATTTCAATTATTCATTATTGTTAAAATAAAAGAATTATAAAAGCACTTATTATTTTAGAAATTAACTAAAAATATTAATTATAACAAATTAATTACTTCATAAAATAATAATAATAGTTTATAATTACTGATTTAAAAATGAATACACACATAATAAGAATATATTATTAGTAAATAATAGTAATTATTATTACTGATTTTATAAATATTAATATATTACCAATCTATATTACTCAATAAAGACATGGAATAAAAAAAAAATATTCAAATTGCCACTAAATGAAT